ATTGTATGAGGAATATAACCAAAATGAAAATGCATACATTGTGCAAAGATGAAAAATGATGTAAGAATTATATAAAATATTTTAAAAAAATAAAAATAAACCAATAAAGGAATGAACATGAAAATTTGAATAAGGAATGAAATAAAACCACAAAATGATGAATGAAATGACAGTAACATAACTTCCATGTATCAATAATCACCATAAATATTAATGGACTAAACTCATCAATAAAAAGACAGAGTAGCAAGTTGGATTAGAAAACAGAATCCAACATTTTGCTGCTTCCAGGAAACAACCTGAATCCAACCTTCTGCTGCTTCCAGGAAACAACCTAAGTTTCAAAGATAAATATAGACTGGAAGTAAATGGTAGGAAAACAACTCTACAAGCAAATGGCACCCAAAAGAAGGCAGGGCAGCCATATTTATATCAGATAAAATAGACTTCAAGCTAATAAAGGTGACAAGAGACATGGACTGATACTATATAACATCAAGGGGACTACACAATATGAAGACCTAAAGCTCATTTGTACACATTCACCAAATGAGGGAGCACCAAAATACATTAGACAATTACTATCAGCTCTGAAAACAGACATTGAAGAAAATACATATTTGGTAGGAGACATCAACACCCCACTTTCACCAATGTACAGATCAGTGAGACAGAAAATAAAGGACACAAGAGCCCTAAACAAAGTCCTAGGCCACATGAGCCTAACAGACATTTATGACACTGCATCCCCCCAAAAACGGAATGTATATTTTTTTCCAAGTGCACACGGATCATTCTCTAGGATCATCCACATCATCTGGGTCACAAGACAAACATCAACAATATATGAAGATTTAAATCATACCAAATATTTTTGTTGATATAAAGTTATCAAACTAGAAAACATACACAAAGCAAAAAGATCCCCCATTATGTGCAAACTAAACAACACATTATGGAAAGACCACTGAGTTAATAAGAAAATTAAAGAAAAAATAAAAAATACCTTGAGAAAAATGATAATGAGGATACAATTTTCCACAACATGTGAGACACAGCAAAGGAAGTATTAAGAGGGAATAACAGAGCAATCTAGACCCACATCAAGAAACACGAGAGGAAACAACCTAATCTTTCATCTTGAGAAACTAGAATAAGAACAACAAAAAACCCCCTCAAAATCCAGCAGAAGAAAGGAAATAATAAAAATGCAAGCAGAAGTAAATGAAATAGAAATAAAATAGTGCAAGAAATAAAACAGTGCAAGAAACAATAAAACCAAAAGGTGATTCTTTGAAAAAAATAAACAAAATAGATAAATCTCTGGCTAGCCTAACAAAGAAAACAGGGAAAACACTCAAATAAGTAGGATGATAAATGAAAGAGGAGAAATTACAAGAGATACAGCAGAAATTCAGAGAATCTAGATGAGATGGACAAATTTTTGGAATTATACAATCATCCATGGTTTAATGAAGAAGAAATAGAAAACCTGAACAAACCAATCACAAGTGAATAAACTGAAATAGTAATCAAAACTCCCCCCAAAACAAAAGCCCAGGACCAGGTGGTTTCACAAGCTAGTTCTACCAAACATTCAAAGATGAACTAATGCCTATCCTACAAAAATTCTTTCAAAAAATTGAGAAAGAAGGAACACTATAAAATGTATTTTACAAGGTTTACTAATCACACTTATACCAAAAACAAACAAAGATGACACAAAAACAGAAAACTATGGACCAACCTCCCTAATGAACATGGATGCTAAAATCCTTAAGATGCTAAAATCCTAGCAAACTGAATTCAACAATGCATCACAGGGATTATACACCATGACCAGGTGGGATTTATTCCAAGGATACAAGGATAGTTCAAAATCCAAAAAAAATCAATTATTGTAACTCACATCAAAAAAAAAAAAAGGAAAAATAAAAAACCACATGATCATATCTATTGATGCCAAGAAAGCACTTGATAAAGTTCATCATCCATTAATGATGAAGGCCCATGAAAAACTTGGAATATAGGAGCATATCTTAACATAATAAAAGCCATATATGACAAAACTACATACAGCTAATATTATTATCAATGGAGAAAAATTGAAAACCATTCCATTTTCATTAAGAGTTGGAACTATGCAATGATGTCCATTCACACCACTGCTTTTCAATATAATACTGGAAGTCCTAGCTAGAGCAATTAGGCAAGAGAAAGACATAAAAAGAATGCAAATTGGGGAAAAAGTAAAACTATCATTATTTGCAGAGGATATGATTACACAGAATCATAAAAAAAAAAATCCATGGAAAAACTAATTATAAGTAATAAGCCAGTTCAGTAAAGTAGCAGGTTACAAAATCAACACACAAAAATCAGTGGCCTTGCTATATGCAAACAGTCTGAAGAGGAAGAAATTAAGAAAACCATCCCATTTAAAATTGTACAAAAAATTAAATACCTATGAATAACATCTCCTAACAAAGGAGAAGAACTATAAAAGAAAAATTATAAAACATTGTTAAAAGAAACAAAAGAAGACACAAAGAAATGGAAAAACATTCCCTGTTCACGGATCAGAAGAATCAGCATTATCAAGTGCCCATCTTACCTATTCAATGCAATTCCAATACAAATTCAATTACATCTTTCAGCAAAATGGAACAAATATTGCTGAAATTCATAAAAACTGAAATTCAAAAAAACCTCAAAAAGCCCAAACTCTCCTTTCTAAAAAAGGGAAGAATGGAGGTATCATACTCCAGACTTTTCAAACTATAATTCAAAGCCATAATAACAACAGCATGGTATTGGAATTAAAACAGATGCACAACCACGGAATGGAATTGAAAGCCCAGAAGTAAAACCACATCTATATTGTCAACAAATGATCAATGACAAAAGCGCAAAGAATACTGGAATAAGGAAAGCCTCTTCAGTAAATGGTGCTGTCACATGCAAAAGAATGACAGATTATCTCATACCATACACAAAAATCACCTCAAAATGGTAAAGGACTTGGAGGTAAAAACTGAAACCATTAAATATATAGAAGAAAACATAGGCAAAACACTCCACGACATAAACTTCAGAAACATCTTTGAGAACTCATCTCCAGAAGCAAGGACAACAAAGGAGAATATCAACAGCTGGGACTACATCAAAGTGAAAAGCTTCTGTTCAGCAAAAGAGACAGCAAACAATATGAAGACACCCTACTGAATTGGGGAAAATATTTGCATTCCAAATAGCTGATAAGGGACTGATATCAAATATCTACAAAGAGCTTACACAACTCAAAAAAAAAAAAAAGCAAATAACCCCATCAAAAAATGGGCAGAAAAGCTAAAAAGACACTTCTCCAAGAACAAATCCAAATGGCCAACAGGCATATGGGAAAAGATTCAACATCACTTATTATCAGGGAAATACAAATCAAAACCACAATAAGATACTACCTCACGTTTGTGAAAAATGGTCCATGTTTAAAAAACTAGAAACAAATGCTGGTAAGGATGTGATGAAAAAGGAATCCTCTTACACTGCTGATGGGAATGCAAACTGGTCCAGCCACTATGAAAAGCTGTGTGGAGGGTTCTCAAACACTAAAAATGGATCTACCAAATGATCCAGCAATTCCACTCCTACTCAAACGGCGTAACAACACTAATTTGAAAGGAAACCCTCACTCTATGTTTATTACAGTATTACGATAGCCAAAATATGGAAACAACCTAAGTGCCCTGTAACAAATGGATCAAGAAGAAGTGGTATATATGCACAATGGAATACTACTCTGTGAACAAAAAGGATAAACTCACGCCATTTGCAGTAACATATATAAAGCTGGGAGATGTTACGCTAAGCAAAATAAGTCAGAAGGAAAAGATAAATATGGGACGGTTTCACTTATAAGTGGAATACAAACAACAAATGGTCAGAAAAAAGACAAAATTGCAAACTGACCATAGATCAGAGTCATACAGTAGGGAAGGGGAGGTTGAAGGATCAAAACAGGGGAGGGAAGAGCATAGGGGACTGTGGAGATGGGTCATGGGTGCTATGATGGTGGGAGAACTACAGGGACTACATCCAAGGGGAGAAATCAAATACTGTCCAAAAATTGAAGGCAGCTATCCTGCTCATCTGAAACTATGCAGGTTCCTCTCTCTTTCTTTCTCTTCTTCCTAACAAATGTGGCCTTTTAAAAGGTGTGTGTGTGGGGGGGGGGGGGAACACAAAGAAGCAAATACTGTCCAAAAATTAACAACCACATAAGAAAATAAATTAATTAAAAAAAAATCACTGCCAAATTCAATGACATAAAGAAATTCTTCTGTTTCCGAGTTTTATAGCTTACTTTAAGGTTTAGATTCAAAAGATTTTTAAAAGCTGGGGGCAAACACCCCATTTTGATATAATTTTAATTGGCAATAGCTGTATAAAAATCAGAAAGACCTTTGATTCTCAGATTTTCTTAATTATTTTTTTAATGAAATCCTCACCAAGGAAAACAACTCTGAATTCTTTCACACAGTGAAGAAACACATTGTGATATGAATAACTGCCCTTTAATTTGTCTAAATTTATTTGATTTGTTTAGTCTAGATTTTGGAATATTGTGTTTCTTAAAATAGCTCAGATGCACACATCAATTATCTGTTGCCTTGTATATATTCTGATTGTGTGAATGATATACACACAAACAGAATGAGCTGAACACTTTTTTCTTGTATTCCCTACCATAGATGTAGGGCTTTTTACTCAGAGGGTACATAAGAGAAGTAGTATGATTTACTGTCCTAAAACAGTGAGAAGAGTGATTAAAAAAAATTGATAAAACTCACTAATTTTCCATATAGTCCACTAAAATAATCTCTCCACATAGACTATTACCATAACTATGAATTTTCATTTTCTAAGAATTGTAAAATGTTTTTCTCATAACCAAACTGATATACTTTGAAACTTGAAAGAATGTTTCATTTATCACCTACCTCTTTTGAGTGTTAAATCCATTAAGATGATTGTCTTTGAGTTCAGACACTAATGATAAAACCATCTGTAAAACAAAATCAGTCCCAAGTTAAACTCACACTGCACACCAGATTATATCAGTTATATTTTTCTTGGTGTGAATGATATTTCCGTTGAGGTTCCCTATTCGCCATCCCCACCCCTGCCTAACTTGTCCTCTCCTTGTTTAACTTTGTCAAAATAAAAAACAGCAATGCCAAATCACATTTACTAATAATTTGGATTTTCAGGTTAAATGTCTGTTATTTTGCATTCTTATTAAAGGAAATGTACAACAGACATATCATTAGTTTCTCAAGAGATAAAATCAAATTTATTAAAAATAAAGCGATTTTAGAGTTATTTTTTAAGTTAGCTCCTTATTTTTAAAAATGTTATTTATGCACAAAGTTTCCAAAAGATCTGATGGTTAGCAAACATTAAAAGTCCATAATAGGGCCTCCCTGGTGGCGCAAGGGGTTAAGACGCAACCTATGAAGCTTGCCACAGCCACTGCAGCATGAGTTCGATCCCTGGCCAGGGAGCTACCCACATGGTGCAGCAGACCTCTCCTGACTTGCCTGCTGCTCCCCTCAGCAGTGTATTTCAGTCCATCTGCCTGTTCTGTTCCCCACTCTGTGCCTGGTGAATCCTCTCAGCCCCCTACACCTCTGGCCTGTACCCCAGTTCTTCTGCGCATAAATACATAAATCTTTTTAAAAAAAAGTCCATAATATTTTTTAGAAGACTTATGTCAAGATCACAAATTAAAATTTCTTGGGTTTGGCTAAAATTAAGGAAGAGAACACAGCTTTAATACTAAGGTCTAAATATATAATAATTGTAATTTTATATGCTTGTTATTTGATTATTTTACTTTAACATAAAACTCCAATCAGGTTATTTTTTAAAAATATTTATTTATTTATGCATACAAGAGCTGGGGTACAGGCCAGAGATGCAGGTATGAGAGGATTCACCAGAGACAGAGTGGGGAACACAACAGGCAGATTGACCGAAGTACACTGTTGAGGGGAAGCAGCAGGCGAGACAGGAGCGGCCTGCCTCGCCATGTGGGTTTCTCCCTGGCCGGCCAGGGATCGAACTCGTGCTGCAGAGGCTGCGGATTGCTTCATAGCACGGCACTTAACCCCTTGCGCCACCAGGGAGGCCCCCCAATCGGTAACTTTAATACAAAATTTACCCAAAAGTACAAGGTCTGTTTAGATTGGTTAAAAAGATCTCTTTTCCCAAAATCTTTGAGAAAAAAATGAGATGTGTTAAGAAACAGAGTGGATGATTTAAAATAACTTCTGGCTTTCCACTTTCTCATAATCTCCAATCTCATATTTCTTCCTTACATGGCCATATGTCCACCCAAGGTAAGAAGAGATAAACACAGAAAAATTAAACATCTCTCCTGGAGGAGTAAATGTTTCCATTTAACCTTCTTCCTGATGGTAGATTAAGCAAGGAAAATTTCAATACTAATAAATTAACAATACTCACATTTTTAAGCAAACCAGGATAGTAATCTGCAGGTGTATACCCAAGATGTTGAGTGAAAACACCAGCTTCTTTTATATCAAATCTGGATGTTGAAAGCACATGTGCCAACAACCCCTAAAAAACATGAACAGAAAAATATTCCTAAAAGTAAATGTAAGTGCCTATTAAGTCTAATGCCTAGAATCTGGGCCACATGTAAATATGGTCATCTCTATGAAAAAAGGTCTCTCACCATGGTTGACCTGCCAGGCTATGTCCACCCAGAGGTTTGTAAGCTGAACAAGGTGTTGCAATGGTTGATAAAGGCTCGCCTTACAAGAGAGCAACTAGAAGATCCTAAAACAAATGCTAAAGATCCTAAAACAAATTCTTTTAAAGTAACTGGCATACTTTTAAGGAAATAAATTTGAATATGATACATTTAAGGAAAGAAATCCAAATATAATGATAAGTATGCTCAAAGATTCATAAGTGTTGTTTCTTAGTTAAAAAATGCTTAAAAGCAAGGTATGATTGTTTTATAATACAGTGTAGCTCACTTAAATCAGTAAAATGCTTATAAATTTTAACAGTACTTTAGCTGGTTATATAGTAAGTTAAATGAGGAAAGAAAGGTGCAAAATTTTATACATAGAAACGACCTCATCAACATAAAAAAAAAATCCATACATGGAAATGAAAGAATAGTAGAAGAAAATATCACCAAATGTTAACAGTCTCTAGGGTGGTAATATTAAGGGTATATATATTTTCTTTATTCTACTTTAGTCAGGAAAAATATTTACTTTTTGAAAAGTGTTTTACATGGAAATACCTGATTTTAATGATTTACTGATATAATTCATAGATCATGAAATTTACCCCTTTAAAAGTGTGAAAATCAGTGTTTTTAGTATATTCACAGGGAAATAGTCACTTTAAATTTTGAAAAGTTCTGCACTACATTTTGTGAGTACACATTACATGATAAAAGAATAGGTAGGCCCTGCTAGACCAAAACAAAAAACACATACAAATAATACCCAGGGTGGATATCACTAAGCCATTATGGCTCTCATTTCAATTTTGTCACAAAATGTTTCACGTATACAAAAATATGTAAAATAATTCAACAAATGTTATCCACTGTTGATCTTTACTAACAAGCATTAGAAAAACAGATGAAGTGCGCCTAAGGGTTCAGGGAGCTCTATCTGGATCTGGATCTGATAAAGTCTTTTTTTGTACCAATAGTTCTTGGCACTTTATCCTTGTGGCTCCATATCCTCAAAGCAAAACTCCAGGCAAAGCTACAAATACAGCATGAACCTGCTGTCCTTATATGAGATCTTAGCTACTGCTTCACATGAGAAAAGTTCACAGCAAGTTAACAAGGTAGTTTGAAACATGACTACTTAGAAGACACTTACGATTATTTCTTAAAAAACTTCAGCAACATGTATAGTGTGATTTACCAAAATGAATCCATTGGAGAAGGGGCAAACAGATTCACAGTTAGAACTTTTTGTGAGGTGTGAGATAATTAAAACACTCCTTATGGGAGTGAAAAAAAGTCTGGGTGGAAGTCATTTGCATATTATTTGCCTATTTGCCCCTTTCAGTTCAAATCTCTCCTTTATAAATACAGAAGCAAACAGGAGCTGCCAGCCTAATAAGAGTCATCTCCCAGTTACGTTCAATTACCAAGTGCAATCTGGATGAGAGCAAGTATTTGTGGTTAGGTGGGCAAACCTAGGTGGGCAAACCTAGGTGGGCAGTCAGTGTACCATTATTTGAGGGGTGGTGTTCAGTGATGGATTCTGCTTAGCTCACCACAGCAGGGAACACATGTGAAGCCCTCAGCAAATGTCAAGTGGGTTGACCCACTAAGGGGTACAATGCAGGTTTTGTGCTGAAAGAAAGCCCAGCCAGACTGCTCAGAATATGCCACATCCATGTGGAGGTACCCACACCAGACCAGACAGGGGAGGAAGGGCTGAGGCCAGGCATGGTTTGGAAACTAGACGGCTAAGGGCTCAGAGTCAGGATGGTCTGGGATTTCAAAATCAGTCTAATGCTGGATGAGGGAGGGAAGTACTGGAGGTGCAAAACTTTCTAAGCTTTTAGCATTTTATTTACAAACAATTGAAGCACTTATATGTCAAAGGTGTTTTAAGCACTTAACAAATAACAATTGATTTAACCCCCACAGCCTCTAGGGTAGTGCTATTATTGAATGTATGTTATAAATAAGGCAACTGAGACACAAGAAACTACAGTGAACGTGTCCAAGGCTGGTAACCTACTCTATGACCAAACCTTGTAAGGAAACTCCTCCTTTAGTTACTCTCAACCAAACAGAAGGAATTATTTTATAACAATGCAAATTTGACCCTCAGGTAAAGAGCCTGTTATTTGCCAAATTTCTTGCCAAAGCAATGCAGCCTTATTAGCTTTGCAGTCCCCACTTGGGTTTGGTTTTCCCTCACTACTTGTTTGGGGCCTATAGGTCTGCAGATTTTTCTGCCCCTCAGACTTTAGTGTGTTCTAGTCTTTCTGTCAGGAGGGCTGCAGGGAAAATAGAGGAAGTTAGACACATTTTTTTTTGCCTTTCCATTGCTAATCTCTGTGGCTGCCACCTGAGGCTTTGCTATCCTTCCAGGTTTTATTGCAAAGGGTACTTGGGAGCATGAATATGGGGCACACATGCCTGTGATTGTGGGCACCTGGGCCAAGAGGTCACAGAGCACAAGGCACACATGTTTAAGTACGGATGCCCAGGCTGAGAGATAAAGGGGACAGAGAGAGGAGAGGAGAGAAGCGAAGTGAAGTGAAGCCAGAAGGAAGCATGGAGATGGCCTGGACTGGGAGGCTCAGCTGCTGCCTGCCTCCCAGCCAACCTGCCTCCCTATCGCCTGTTGCCCTGCCTGCTGGTCTACCTGTGTACCCAGTTCCCTGCCTCAGCATTAAAGGCCTGTCAAATCTACCGAAGACTCAAAGATTCCTTTTCTGTTTGCCTGAATCAACCATGAATGTGCTTGGCCTGGGACGCTTGCCATTAAGGGTTCTTCACAAGAATTCCAACAATTATGACAACGAAAATTTGTTGAGTGCTTACCATGTGTAAAGCACTGTGTTGTTTTCTAAGTATAGTCTCTCACTTAAAATCCCATTTATTTAGTGTAATGCAACAAACCCATACCAGGTAGGTTCATTAACAGTTCTAGCAGGCCTGTTGTCTTCATGCTCTCCGCCTTCTGTAGTTGCTGTATTCTGTCACGCTCTGTCACTCTCCGCTGCGCTACTCAGTACACGCCACTGCACTCCCATCCTCGACACCATACCACCACACTGCACTTTGCTGCGCCACCCTTATAAACCCAGTCTCTCAGCCCAGGTGTACCCACCTACACGTGCCCACACCCTACTCCAGGTGTCCGCTATCAGGCACGCATTCAGAGCTGCAAGGATCCACCATTAAGCCCAACGGTGGGAGGGCAGAAAAGCCTGATACTTTACCTACTTTACATTTCGCTTTTAATAAAATTAAAGCAAGTTTCAATTAAGCAACTGATAAACAGGTGATTACTATCATAATTCGCATGATTGACCCTTAAAAAATTAAAAGCATAAAGTACTATGGACCCAGTAGGGATAAAAAGTAATACAGTGTATATGTAATAATAGGAAATCAGCTTCAAGGCTGTAACAGCTACGGGTCAGTTAAAAGTGAAGACCTTAAGTTAAATCATTTCCAAACTTTCTCCAGTAACCCCGGAAACACTCATATTGTCTCAGAGCATGGAGGGTGGCCTTCCCAAAACTACATGAGGTGCTTTGGTAGCCAAGTCAATTAAAGTTAGAAAAAGTCCATGATAATCAACAGATTCAGAGGTGTGACTAGGGACTGTAAATACCTCCTGAGTCATGTTTTAAATAGCCATAAACAGTTCCCTACATAGCATTCACAAAGCCTGTATTATGCAAGCTGACTATAACATTACTTAAGCTCATGGGAGAATGAAAATAACTTAATTGGCAGACCTATCTTAGCCTAAATCCCCCAGATAAGGTTAGAAGTTGATTTTTTTATTTTTTAAAGATTTATTTATTTATGCATGTGTAGGGTAAAGAAAATGTCAGGCTTTTCTGCCCTCCCGCCATCAGGCTAGATGATGGATCCTTGCGGTCCTGAATGCATGCCTGATGGTGGGCACCTGGAATAGGATGTGGGCATAGGTAGATGGGATTCATCTGGGTTGAGACTGGGCTTCTAAGGGTGGCGTCACGGGGACGCCAGCAGAAGTCAAAAGAGAAGCCGAAAGAGAAGCCGAGAAAGAAGTAGCAGAAGCTGAGAGAGAAGCAGAGAACGCCTGAGGGCCGATAGAGTGAAGACTTGCTGGGGACTGGGAGGCCTGCCAGCCTCCCGGCCCCCCAGCACCCCTGCCTGCCATGTACTTGGTAATCCCAATAAAAGACCTGCAAAAAGAACCACTGAGGACTCTGACTCCTTCTTTATCCGGTCTGCATGGGATCAGAAAACCTGCACCGTGTCTAGGTCCTGACCTTACAGCATGCAAGACTTGGGGTATAGGCCAGAAGTGGGTGTGTGTGTGTGTGTGTGAGAGGATTCACCAGAGACAGAGTGGGGAACAGAACAGGAAGGTCTACTGAAATACATTGCTGAGGGGAGCAGCGGGCAAGACAGGAAAGGTCTGCTGTGCTATGTGGGTTAGCTCCCTGGCCGAGATCGAACTTGTGCTGCAGTGGCTGCTGAAGCTTCACAGTGCTAAGGCTTAATTCAAGAGGCCCCTTGTAGGGTAAGGAAAAAATGTCAGGCTTTTCTGCCCTCCCGCCATCAGGATAGATGATGGATCCTTGCGGTCCTGAACGTATGCCTGATGGCGGGCACATGGAATAGGGTGTGGGCAGATGTAGATAGGATTCACCTGGGCTAAAACTGGGCTTTTAGGGGCGGCGTCAGGAGAATGCCAGCAGAACCCGAGAAAGAAGCAGCAGAGGGAGAGAGGGAGAGAAGGAGAGACCGAGAGAGGGAGAGAGCGAAAGAGGGGGAGAGGGGGAGAGGGAAACGCCAGAGAGCCCAGATAGAGTGAAGACTTGCTGGGGGCTGGGAG